GTCATCTCTGATATGTGTCTGATGTAAGGTAGGATGACTAGTGTGTCTGGCCTTTTTGGGTCTTCTTGTTGTGGTCTGTCATGGAGGTAACGACGGATTGTATCCACCAAGAACCACGACTAATTCTCACTGGTCTCAGTACACACGGACAAAGAAGGACACGAGTTTGACTGGGACAACACATCCATAGTTGCACAAGCCAAACAGAGACATGCCAGGGAATTCCTGGAGGCCTGGCATTCCAACCGGAACTCCATCAACAAACACATTGAACTGGATCTGATATACAAACCGCTGAGAAACAGAACCGGACGTGATGCCAACCACGCCAGCAAACCGAGGTTTATAAATAACAAGTGGGACAGAACACCAACGCTTCACCAGAAACGTACTGATGATGTTAGCTAGCAGGGTGACAAAACACCTACAATCAAAACCAACGGATCAGTAAGCAAGTCTACAACCTCATCCACAATCCGAGCTACAAATCTCCTCAAAAACATTAAAAGTTCAAAATCAATAATGAAAAATGTTGGATAGACTATTATTTTTAAATAATACAGCCTTGATCAATAAATGCTGGAGAGATAAGCCAGTTGGAGATCAGTCAGTTTAACTTCGGGGTGCTGGGAAGCTTCTAAAAATAATTGTTTGGGATAGAATTAGTAGTCACATTGAAAAAGTTGGATTGATTAGGAAGAGTCAGCATGGATTCGTGAGCAACCCTCCCCCTCATCCCTGCCAACCTTGACCTGACACAACCTGTCCATCTTTTCTCCCACCTATCCGCTCCTCCCACCTCACTGACCAATCCACACCATTCCCCACCTGCACTCATCTATCACTATCCCATCTACCTTCCCCAGCCCCACCTCTCCTCTCTATTATTTCTGAGCTCCCAACCCCCTCCCCATTTCTGAAGAAGGGTCCTGACTTGAAACGTCAACTTTCCTGCTCCTCTGATGTTGCCTGCTGTGTTCCTCCAGCTCCACACTGTGTTATCTCTGACTGCAGCATCTGCAATTCTTACGATCTCTGACTACTTCTAAAAGGGCAATTGTGTTTAACTAACTTGCTGGAGTTTTGTGAAGGGACAACAGAAATGCTCTATAATGGTAATGCTGTTGATGTGGTGTGTGTGACTGCTGAAAGGCATTTGATACAAGGCCATACGACAGACCTTTGAGGAAACATACAAGTCATGCAATAAAAGGGACGTAGCAACATGGATACAAAATTGCCTGATTGATGGGAAACACAGAATAGTGGTCAATGGATATTATTTAGGCTGGAGAAAGCTTTTTAGTGGAGTTCCACAGGGCTGGTATTGGAACCCTTGTTTTTCCTAATCTATCTTACTGATCTAGATGTTGACATTCAGGCAACAATTTCAAAGTTTGCAGATCTCACAAAATTTGGAAGAGTTGTAAACTGCGAGGAGGGCAATGTAGAACTTCAAAAGGGTATAGTCAAGTTGGTAAAATTGGCAGATGGGTGGCATGTGGGTTTGATGCAGACGAGTGGGAGGTGATGCATTTTGGTAGGAAGAACATTCAAAGATAAGGGAGCAGTTGTAATTTAGTGAGGGATGGGTTGCAGTCCTTAGTGGTGGACTTAAAATCTGTTAAGTATATTTTATTAATTTCTAGAAATTTTGAGAAAAGTAAATGAATGTCATCTGTCCAGGCAGGACCACCTAGAAACAAGCTGTAATGGAGGAGCACTGAAATGGAAGGCAGGAGGAATTAATTTCTTCCCAGGGATGAAGGCCTCAATGGATGGCTGCAGTGGCCATTGAAACCAAGAGATAAGGTTTGCATTTCTATAGCACCTTTCACAGGACTGCCCCAAGTGTTTTACAACTGGTGAAATACCTCTGAAATATAGTCACTGCTGTAAGGTAGGAAAGACCGCAGTTAATTTTCACACAGCAAACTCCCACAAATAGCAATGATATGATACTTTATGATGTCATTTGAGGGATGAGTGTTAGCTGTGACTCCAAGGAAAAGTTCTCTGCTCTTCTTCAAAAGAGACATTAAAGATCTTAGGACACTGTGTAAGAGAGCAGACAGGATATTGTTTTTGTGAATGTATGTGTTTGTTTATGGACTTGCTTTTGTGCGTGCATAGCATTGTTTTTGTTTCTGTGCATACTTTGTTTGTGTGTGTGTGTAGCATCTTTTTACTAACTGCAAGTGTAGCATTGTTTTTGTGTAACTTTTATTTTTAAAGTAAACAAAGTGGTAGATTCAGGGGACTTCTAAGAGAATAAAGCCGCAAAATTCCAGTTTTGAACAAGCAATAACAAACTTTACTATACAAAGTTAGCACAGTAATACATCTACAATACATGTACAGCTTGTCTTTAACACCCAGGTTAACACGCAATAAACATGGGCAATAGAGTAATTAAACATTCCCCCCCCAACACACACACACACACACACACACACACACACACACACACACACACACATCAAGACAGACCTGATGGATTTCTCAGCAGTTCCGACAGATACTGGTGCTATGTCAAGTCTCATTAAATGTCACAAGGGATCACAACTCTTCATTTTTGCTGATCTGACCTTGAAACTTCCTCTCAAGAACTGCACCATCATGGATTGCCTCATCAATTGAACCAGTTTTAGTTAATCACCCTCCTTTCTTGGACATTCACTCCCCCCTGAACTCTGAAACTGTATTCCTGTACTTGTTCACATGCATAATTAAAGCTCTTCACAGGCAGTTAGCCTAGCCTAGCTTATTCTGAGCCCCCATGCTTCCGAGGACTTCCCTTAGCCCTCACTAGACAAAATGTATTTGCAGGAAAGAGTTGAACATGGTATGTCTGACAGTCCCCCTCCCACCCACCAACTCAACTGTAACATTTGAACTCCACTTTTTGACCCCAAATTGTCCTGAGCGATCTTTTGAAAACCTTACAATCAACCTCTCCATTATTGCTGGGTAGAATTGAAAATTGCTACCTACCGACTCTTGGAACTATTCCATGAATGTAACCAATTATAGATTGCTGGCATTCTGAGCACAAATGGAGGATTTAATGGCATTCTGCATGGGCAGCTCATATAAAGACTGTTGTGTGTGTAAAGAGCGTTTATATGTGCAGTGCCTGTGCCTGAAGGAAGAACCTACTACCAGGAAACTTCCCTTTAGCCAAAAATATTTAATTCTGAAATAGACATTGCCAAAAGTTTCCACAAAGCCTCAGTGTCTGCATTACCAATTCAAGAGTGCCAATTTAAGAAAATGACTTCTTCATCTTTTTATAATTTCATTTTAAGATTTTTACTGTTGAGTATTATGCAGTTTTTAAAAAAATTGAAACTGATGTTCATAAGACATTCAGGACCTTGGAAGTATTGGATAACTACCAATCCCAGTGTTGGAAAACAGAGCAGGCATTGGAGAATGGAGAGCTACAGGCTTCCAGCACTGACAGGAGACAACTCTTGATGACTTCACCAAAGTAAGGAAAGCGCATGGAATGGAAAAATAACTTTGGATCACTTTCGTTGAAGTATTTGATGAGTAAAACAAGGAGACGGAGCTTCAGCTTCAGGATGTTCTGTGTCACAAAAAGACCACATCTGACATCATATATCAATCAGGTAGAAATCCTGGAATTGTGTAGGGAAAGTTTGGATGCTACAGTAGGACAACATGGATTTCGTGGAACCCTGAGTTTAATCATTGATTTGTGATAACACATTTGTTCTATTGATGAGTCCATTGCCTTCCTCTCTTGCCTTTCTCATCATTTTTGTTTAGACTTGTTAAACCTGTGACTTCAGAGAGCTGAGGCCAGCAGCAATGCAGGTTAATTTGAATAACATAGAGTCATGGAGTCCTGCAGCACGGAGACTGGCCCTTCGGCCCAAACTGGTCCATGCCGACCAAAATGTCCATCCACACTAACCCCATTTCCCTGCACTTGACCCATATACTTCGAAACCTTTCCTATCCATGTATTCATCCAAATACCTTTTAAATGTTGTTAATGTACATGCCTCAACCACTTCCACTGGCAGCTCATTCAATATGCTTACCACCCTCTGTGTAAAAATGTTGCCCCTCAGGTTCCCCTGTATTCTTTCCCCTCTTATCTTAAACTGATGCTCTCTAGTCCTCGATTCTCCAACCCTGGGAAAAAGACTAAGTGCATTCACCCTATCCATGCCTCTCATGATCTTGTACACTTATATAAAATCCCCCCTCAGTCTCCTACACTCTAAAGAAAAATGTCCTAGCTTACCCAATCTCTTCCTAAGACTCAGGCCCTTGAGTCCTGGCAACATCCTTATTAATTTCTTCTGCACGCTTTCCAGTTTAATAACATCCTTCCTATAGCAAGGTGACCAAAACCGAACACAATACTCCAAATGCAGCCTCTCCAATCTCCTGTACAACTGCAACACAACTTCTGTACTCAATGCTCTGACTGATGAAGGCCAGTGTGCCAAAAGCCTTCTTCACTGCCCTGTCTACCTGCGGCTCCAACTTTCAGAGAACCGTGCACCTGGACTCCAAGGTCCCTCTGTTTCACTACACTCCTTAAGGCCCTACCATTCACCATGAAACTCCTACCTTGATTTGACTTTCCAAAATGCAACACCTCACACTTATCTATATTAAACTCCATTTGCCATTTCTTGGCCCACATCCCCAGCTGATGAAGGTGCTGCTGCAATTTCTGATAATCTTCCTCACTGTCTACGATACCGCCTATTTTAGTGTCATCTGCAAACTTACCAATCATGCCTTGTACGTTCCCATCCAAATCATTGATATAGATAACAAACAGCAATGGCCCCAGCACCAGTCACTGAGGCACAACACTAGTCACAGGCCTCCAGTTCGACAAACATCCTTCCACGGTTACTCTCTGCTTCCTACCATCAAGCCTATTGCATATACAAAATGCCAGCTCTCCCTGGATTCATTGCAATCTAACCTTCCAGAGCAGCCTACCATGTGGAACCTTATCAAAGGCCTTACTGAAATCCATATAGACTACGTCTGTTGCCCTGCTCTCATCAACCTTCCTGGTCACTTCATCATGTTGAGATTGTCTGGTGTTCCATCCTGCTGAAGTTTAATGATCATCCTCGATTCCCAGCCACTCCTTCCTGTTTGCTAACTGCCATTCATTCTTCAGCACATCTGCCTCTGATGGCAAGAAGTGTTTCTCGTAACCAGTGGAGCTGAGGGGTTCCACCATTAATCCTGTGCTGGTTGCTGGCTCTTCCACAGGTTTCTTTTCCAAACAAGTGGAGGCCTCTGGAGGTGTCTCCACAAGTGGAGAATGACAACTTGTCCAGTAAGGATCTTCTGAACTACTGGGTCCCATGTCTTTTGCCAGAGTGGAATTGTTGCTTGTCGTTGATGGAACTTCAATCTTGTCCTCAGTTTCAATCTCTTCCAATTCATGAATTACTGTCTCCGACATTGCCTCATGGTAGTTCAGAGGATAATCATACTGAGAACAGATAATCAACAACAATCAGTATTCCAAGTCAACATAGCTTTCTCTTTTTTGTCAAAAAAAAACATAACTTATTCCATACATTTTGCAAAATTGCATTTTGAAACAGTTTAAATTGGGGTGTTGGGGTCAGGGATGGGGTTTAGTCATGGTAATCCAAGTTGAGAATCCAGGGTGAGGGTCTAGGCATGAGAGTACAGGGGCTTAGGAAGGATTCTATAGGAATTGTAAATATATCATAGATTTCATGTCCTTAGAGTCAAAAGCATTTTGGCTTCACACATACATCAGAAATAATAGTAGACGCTTTCTCAGTTTGTGCTTGCCTATTATCAAGCATACTTTTTTTTGACAGCACTCTATATTGAACTCCTGAAGCTGGTAGCTCCCACTGAAATACAAGCTCTAAGAGTTAAGCCCTACACCTACCCATTCTCTGATAGGACCAAACATTAGGCCATTGTTCTGCTTGCAATCTAATTTGGTTCTACATAGTGTCGAACAGGTGAACATCTGGCCTGATTGACAAACAGCATTTGACACACTCAATTCTCCAATCAAAGTTCAATTACTCACCACGTCAGGTATGCAGCTGAATTGATCTACAACAGAAACATCAAAAACTTGTATTTCCAAACCACTTTAAATGTCAATGCTGGAACGTTATCAAATGAGAATCTGACAGTGAGCCACAAAAGGCTGTATTAGGGCAGTTACCCAAAAACTTGATCAAACAGATAGGATTTAATAAGTATTTTAAAAGAGTAGTAAAGGAGAATTGGAAAGGATTATGGAGAAAACTTTGGAGCTCAGGACTGAAACGTGCTCACCAGTTGTGGACTAATTAGAATCAGAGACCTGAGACCATAATTAAAGGAGTGCAGAGATGTGGAGAGGGTTTATAAAGCTGCAGGAGGTCATGGGCACAGGGAGGAGGGTGGCCATGGCAGGATTTGAACATGCGGATGAGAATTTTAAAATCACTGCATTGCCCGACTGGAAGTCAGTGTAGATCAGCAAGCTAGGGGTAACGGGTAAATAGAATGGTGTGTTAGGATACTACTGTCATTTGGTGCAGGTACATCTAAATTGCTGTTAGGGAGCTCCAGGATCGTGACCCAGTGACAGTGAAAGAACAGTTATTTGTTTCCAAGTCAGGATGATGGGAAGCTTGGTGATGACCTTATCATTTAGATTGTAGAGATTGTGGGTTTAGAGGAAGCTTTTGGAAGAGCCTTGGTGAATTTCTGGACTGTATCTTGTACATGGTGCACACTGCTGCAACTGTGCATTGGTGATGAGGGAGTGAATGTTTATGGATGTGGTGACAATCAAGTTTGCTGCTTTGTCCAAGATGATGTCAAGCATCTTGAGTGTTGTTGGAACTGCACTCATCCATCGTTTTGTAGATGGTGGACAGGCTTTGCAGAAACATGAGGTGAGGAGCTGTAGGATTCCTAGTCTCTGACATGCTCTTGTAGCCACAGTTTTAATATGGCTTGCAATGCTGCTATTAAGTTGTGTGTGTGTATCCAGCTGCTCCAAGGTTCTGCACATGGAAATCGGTGTGCCAATTACGACATCCATAAAGCACTGCTGTGCATGGTCTCTGGTGGCCTGTGCAGCCAGAAAGAAGATTAGAGAGATCACTGATAGCTAGTGCGGTTCAGTTTCTGATCATTGGTAACCTCTAGAACATTGATTTCAGAGTAGTGCCAATGATGGTAATGCCATTGAATGTCAAATATAACGGTTAGATTTTCTTTTGTTGGAAAACTTATTTCAGTCAAAAAGGAGGACTTGATGGGAAGATGAGCTCCCCTTGCTTAACAAAGGTTGTCAAGGAGAGTCACCATCTAAAACTTAGGTATATAAAGTGGTGAAACCTAGTGGTATGCCAGGGGCTTAGGAATTTTTAGGAATCAGCAGTGATAAGTATGGAACTAATAAAATGGGACAAATTGATTATGAAAATAAATCGGTAAGAAATGTGAAAACAAACAGCAAGTGCATCTACAGGTATATAAAAAGAAAGCAGGTAGCTATATTAAGTGTGGGACCCTCGGTGGATGGAACTGGGAAATTCATAACAAAGAATAGAGATAATTTAAACCAATATTTTGGTTTAATTGGTCTTCACATCCTAAAAAGCAATATGCTGATGGGAGGAAAGATATCGTAACAGTCCCTATCACGAGGGACAAAGCATTTGATAAGTAATGAGACAAAAGGCAGACAAGTTGCCAGACCTGATGGCAGAGGAGAGGTATTAAGATACAGAGAATGCGATGTATCGTGTTCAATTTTGGTCTTTACTCTCTGCACCATCAGAGGGAGTTTGATTAAAGGCATGAACATCCTTACCAGCTGGTCCCTAACTTTGCTGTTCCTTGGATCTGGAATTCTCTGGCAACACCACTGAGGTAAGTAGAATGAGCTGCAGCTTTGTATTCTGAAAGGAAGAGATATTCAGAACCTTGAACCTGTTCCATCATTCACCTGCCTTGGTTCTGTAACCCTTTATACTCTTGCCTCTCAACATTCTAGTAATGTCAGTCTTAGAAAATGTTTATTTGATCAACTGCCTTTACAGTTTTTTGCAGATTTCCACTCCCTCTTGTATGAAGAAATGCTTTTTGATGTTTCCCTGAATGACCCAGTTCAAATATAAAAATTATGCTCTTCCTTTTTCTACATTTCTTCTAATAGAGAAATGGTCCACATGGGATTATCAGGAATATGCAGCATTGAAATATGCCAGTCAGCCCAACCAGTCTCTGCCAGTGTTTATGCTTCATATGGACCTCCTCTTGCCCAGTCAGAATGTCTCTCTCCTCCTTTCTCCTGCATGCCCTTCTCCAGCTCACATATTCACCTTGTTGACTCTTTGTGGTAATTATTCCCCCATTCTCACCATTTTGGCTGAAGATCTTTTTTAAAAAATCTTCTCTTGAATACAATATACTGTGCATCATTTAATATAGCAAATCACTCAGAGTGAACTCCTTAAAAGTTTCACACAGGTACAACTTGACAGTCAGTGACATGGGTAGTTGGAGAATATATCGTCATCTTTGGTAATGTAGTACATCAAATTTTACTGCGCCAGAGGTCATTTATTTGAGATCACGAAACTGATGAGCTGACTTGATAAATTTAAAACTTCACTACAATTTCTACTCAGAAACTCAGTGCAGTACCTGTGCAATATCATATGCAAATTAGCAAGATGTAGATGGAGATTGCTGGCAGAACCTAACCCCTATCTTGAGACTGGAGCTTAACATAAAGCTCACTCACTCACCCTGTCTCAAGCGAAGATCTGAATCAATTGTTTTCTTTCCCTCCCCTGTTCTAGATATCACCCTGGTACCAGGAAAATAAGAAGGGATGAAATGAGAGAAAATGCCATTTTATTCGAGTAACACAATATTGTTTGTGGGCAGACATGTCCGTGCACCTTCATACATATAAGAATGCAGGAGGGAACACAGTAACATGTATTTTCGCATGAGTATCAATGCCCACTTACGTGAGCAAAACCATACAAAGTTTCGCAAATACAAATATCTGACTGTGTGTCTAAATAGCTCATAGCCATTTTCTCCATCATGCCAAGGTTCAGTTAATCCTAGGAGACTGACTCACCTCTGTTTATACAATCTGCAGAAATAGAAGGAAAGAACTCCAATCACCGCAGATGTAGAGAACAGTGCCACAAGCATCCAGGTCACAACCTTTGAACCTGAACATAGCAGAAAGCAGGATTAGAAATTACACATACAGTCATCAGGCAGGCCAGCCATTCTGCTGGCTAGGCTGCCCAACACAACAATCTACCAGCAGCTGCTTTCACTACATTTTCTCATCAGGTAGCTCTCTTCTGAGTCAGAAGGTTATGGCGTCAACCATGACTCCAGGACTTGACTACAGACAACAGTAGGGCAACACTGAGGGAGTGCCGCACTGTCAGAGAGTCAGTGCTGAGGGAGTGCTGTACTGTCAGAAGGTTAGTGCTGAGGGAGTGCTGCACTGTCAGAGAGTCACAGCTGAGGGGCTGCCACACCATCAGGGTCAGTACTGAGAGTGTGCTAATCTGTAGGAGAGTCAGTACTGAAGGAGTGCAGCACTATCAGTACTGAGGGAGTGTCATACAATCAGAGGGTCAGTACTGAGGGTGTGTTGTAAACCATTTTGGGTTGTGATAAGGTGGTACATAAATTCTTTAATAATTATTTGCTATGATTTACATCAAATCCCTCTTAGCTGAAGCTGCATCTTCCTACTGTGGTTGAGCTTGAGTTTAAAATAAAAACAGAAACAGCTGGGAAAACTCAGGATGTCTGCAGCTTCTGCAGAATGAAAGCAGCTTTAAACTCTGCTTTCTCTCCACAGATGCTTCCAGACCTACTGAGTTTTTCCAGTCATATCTCTTTTTGTTTCTGATTTCCAGCATCCACAGTTCTTTGATTTTTTTTTGTTGAGTGGGTGACAGCTGTTTGCACATTACACAGATATCATTGTTTATCATTGAGTTGCTGGAGGTCCTGAACTATTTTCATTTCAAAAATCTGGAAGCATCATCACTACTTTCTAACCAAACCATTCCCTTATCCCTTTTCACCAACATTACCTTGTGTTTTAAAGCAAAGGTATGGCCCTTTGCTTCCCTCTCCCATAGTAGTGGATGCTGTCATCCAAATTTTGTAAGTGCTGTCGGGCTCCAAGTGCAACAATGTGTATCTGTCTAATGTATTGCTTAAATTGAGAGCTGTAAGAAAGAACAAAGCTTTGAGATGTACAACTTTCACCCTCATGTCCAATACATTAATATGGATCACACCATTCAACCCTGTGGCACCAACCTGAAAAAGAGCACTTTTTTCCTGACTTTCCATTTCCCTGTTCATCAGTAGATCCTCCATCTACATTGATATATCACCCAATACCATAAGGCCATAAGAAATAGTAACAGGAATAGGCTGTTTGGTTTCTTGAGCCTGCTCTACCATTCAATAGGATCATCGCTGATCTGACATTCCTCACCCCAACTTTCCTGCGTTTTCCCCATAATGCTTGACTGATCAAGAATCTATCTATCTCAACCGTAAGTATGCACAAGGACTCCTTCCTTGCAGCTTCTGTGGCAAGGAGTTCCAAAGACACTCAACACACTGAGAGAAGAAATTCCTCTTCATCTCAATGAGCTCTTGTTCAGTAACATTCTATACCATATCTTTTGGAATGCATTCTGGAAATGCAAATACGCCACATCTACTGGTTGCCCTTAATTCATCCTGCTTGTTATATCCTCAAAGAACAATAATCAATTGACAAACATTACTGCCCTTTCACAAAACCATGTTGACTCTGTTTGATCTTATTGTGTTGTTCTAAATATCCAGCTAATATTTCCTTAATAAGGAATTCTGTCAATTTTCCTATGATGGAGTTAGGCTAACCAGCCTATGGTTTTCTGCTTTCTGTATCCCTCCTTTGTCGAATAGCACTATTACATTTACAGTTTTCCAATCCGGTCAGACCTTTCCAGAATCTAATAACTCTGCAGCCTTTAGTTTTCCTAGTGTTTTTTCTCTTGTAATACTGATTGTTTTAATTCATCTTTGCCTTTTGATGCCATGTTTCTATTATTCTTGGGATATATTTCGTATCTTCTACCATGAGAACATTTACAACGTACAAAATGCTAGATCAATTCTTCTTACTCTTTTGTTTTGGAAGTCCACCTGGATTCTTGACATAGTACAGAGTAAGGTATTGTATAAACCCTCGACGTTGATCCAGTGGGAGATCCTTCCATAGCAGAGTGACCCCAGTCTGGGAGATATTTAGAATTGAGATTTCAGGCCCAGCAAGAGGAACTGCAAGAGAATTAAAATGAGATACCCACAAGGAGCAAAAGTAACATCTGAAAAATGTTTCATGTACTACATCTCACTGAGAACAGACACCAGTTAACCGGAGGTGATCCAAACATTAAAGTGTTGAGTTGAATAATAGCAATTTGTTTTGTGGAATTTGAGAAATGTCACATTGGTGGAACTGTGCTGATTACTACTTATTGAGAGTCACCCCATCATAACCTTCATCATTGTAAATTACATCTTCTCTCAGCCTCAGTATTCAGCTCTCTTTTAGATTCCTAATCTTGAATTCATCTTGGTGAATCTACATCATATGTTTCCTTTTACTTTAATCTTCTCTCTGTAATAGATTACAGAAAACTGCACACATTGTAGCCCAACCAATGTCAGTAGTTGATTTGTGAATACACTGTTGTGAATAACACAGGCCATTTAGCCTAACTGGTCTGTGCTAGTTCTTATGGTCTGCTTGAACCTGATCCCACATTGTCTGATTTCACCCGACAGAATATCCTTTCCTTTTCTCTCATTGTTTCACCCTGGTTGTCTTAAAGCTGCAGTAATGGTCTTTCCAATGGTCATCCCTCATTCAGCACAAGGGCAGTATGGTGGCTCAGTGGTTAGCACTGCTACCTCACAGCACCAGGGACCCGAGTTCGATTCCATGCTATGATAGGTGACTATCTGTGTGGAGTTTGCACATTCTCCTTATGTCTGCATGGGTTTCCTCCCACAGTCCAAAGATGTGCAGGGTAGGTGTGTTGTCCATAATAAATTGCCCATAGTGTCTAGGGATGTTTAGGTTAGGTGGGTTAGACATGGGAAATGCAGAGGTAGGGGAATGGGTCTAGGTGGGATGCTCTTTGGAGGGGCAGTGTGGACTTGTTGGCCCGAATGGCCTGTTTCCACACTGTAGGGTTTCTGTGATTTTAATGGAGGAGGAAGGGTAAGAAGAGTAACAGGAGGATATACCTGCAATCTGCTCACTCATATACCACTGCCCCTTGCTTATCCTCAGTGATCTACTGGGTTTATTAGTGACTGTTTTATATTCATGGTTCTAGTTTTGTTCTCTCCCAGAAGAGGAAATATCTTCAAATAGCTGACCCTATCAAATCTCTTCAGGGAGCTGAAGAGCTCCGAAAGGTTGAGTCTGTTGAGAAAAGAGTCCTAGAGCTCAGTATCACAATCTCTGTCAGTAAGATTTGCAGGTTAACGGGTTTCACCGATAGCAACAGGAAATGGTACCTCCTTCTTCTGTGTATACCAGAGTGGACACTGGGCCTCCCAATCCTGCCTGATATCGAGTGTACACCGAGATCCTGTACAGAAGCAGCGGACAGAGAAGACCTGAAAGGAAAATAGGCTATCAGGGCTCAGGAACAAGCTTACACAAACAGATTGGAATTGAGTTCAGCATGCACACCGTTGAGAGAGTGGAACCAACACTTTGCTGCTTCAATCCCAGTCTTGTTTTGTACAGCATGGGGTTAGATACAGAGTAAACATTTCTCTACACTGTCCCATTAAAAACTCCGAGGACAGAAACAGCTGGAGGTTATATACAGATCAAAGCTGCCTTTGCACTGTCCCTGTCAAACACTCCCAAGACTGGTACAGCAGGGGTTAGATCCAGAGCAAAGTTTTGTCCATTCTTCTCAACTGAAAGTATAGATGTCTGTACTCTTTTGAACTGAAAGTAAAGATCTATCAAAACTGTCCTCATCAAACAATCCCAGGACAGAGACATCACCAGGCTAGATACAGGGTAAAGCACCCTCTACACCATTTAATCAAATTAGAAATTAATCAGTAACAATTTCATGCTGTGATTACTTGGTTGCTGGGACATGATGTGACTGATAAACTCATTTCACATTTTTATTCTGTCAGCCTATGCTTGCTTAAAAATCTATAGCCTGGAGTCTGCACCAGCCTTAGACTTACCTTCCAGCAAAGTTACGCTGACATTCTCTGCTGGTACTTTTTTCCAGTCAAGTGTGTATTCTGAATTTATTTTATACCATTCCACCACAAACTCTTCAGGGATTACGTTGGCAGGTCGCTCCCAGGACACCAGTACTGAGTGGTTCCTGCTGTGAGCTGTCATATTGAATGGTGGCGGGAGGTCTGAGCAAAACAAGTAATACCAATAAGTTTATTTTTGAATTCTAACTGAACCCCGCCTGCCCTCAACCAAATCCCTTGCCTTTACAAAGGTGCATGGGTCAGTCTCATGGTTCTGTGATTGTCTGTTACATGTCAGTGTGTAGCATGCAATGGAGCCAATGGATATCTGTGCAACCATTGTATGTCATATTCACTTTCCCTGGCACCAGAAGCTCCATGTGTGGAGGGAAGTGTAGCAGTGCACTTCTGTCATGGTGTGGTGATAAAATTGCTGGATTAGTAACCTAGCCAGTGCTCTGGGGACATGGGTTTAAATCCTATCATGGCAGTGTGGTTGATGCTTAACTGTCCTAGAAAACCACTCTGTTCAAGGGCAGAGATAGTAGGAACTGCAGATGCTGGAGAATCTGAGATAACAAGGTGTAGAGCTGGATGAACACAGCAGGCCAAGCAGCATCAGAGGAGCAGGAAGGCTGACATTTCAGGCCTAGACCCTTTAGCCCGAAACGTCAGCCTTCCTGCTCCTCTGATGCTGCTTGGCCTGCTCTGTTCAAGGGCAGTTGGGAATGGGTAATAATCACCTCCATGCCATGGAAGAATAAAAACATGTACAGTTTCTTATACAACCGTGTGAAAGGCAGTGATGTGTACACTGTTACAGTTCTCTGTACACATTTATACAGGTTTATGACATGTGTATGAGGTACAATTCACCCTGTGCACTGTGTACATCTCTCGCTTTATGTTTACCTGCTATTAGGTTGAGCTTGGCTGGCTGAGTTGCTCCAACAGAATTGTGTGCAGTGACGTTCACCCATTGGGTGGTCTTTGGAAGGCTGAAGTTACAGCAGACAGTGATTGCTTCCTCTGTTATCATTTCTCCATCCCCGTAGACCACTGTATATTTCCGAATTATTCCTCTTGCTTGATGATGTTCAAGGCGCTGAAAACCACCCCCCCCCAAGAAATTATTGTGCTTTGATCTAATGGTGGGTTTGAATGTTGGAAGTTAGAAATTCATGCGTTTGAGTTAGAGAACTGTCAGAAAGATGAGATATTCAAATCTTGAATTAGAAATGGACTTTGAGAAGCTGAAAGCTTGAAGCCAGTGTCTGTGTTTGGGACAGGTTCAGAGTGAGAGGTATTACATGCAGCCATTGCCATTGAACTGTCTTAGAAATGTGATACATGTGAAGAAACTGTTGGAGAAATTAGAGCTGGAAGGATTTAAAACCACTATCCAAAGACACACACAGCAGCAGCAGATAGAGTCAACTCACTAATCCATGAAAACATTGATGGGGTGTAGATGAAGGAGATAGGACATTAAATTGAGACCTTCAGAAAATCAGAAAGAGTGATGATTGACAGAGAAAATGCTAGAGGAAGCAGAGTATTAACATATGCCTGGGTAAGTCCAGAATTGCTGGAACAAAAATGAATCATGAAGGTTTGTACAGTTAGACATTTGAGGGCAAATGTGTCAGCCATGGACACAGGCTGACAGCTGATTATAAGGTGTGGTGGCATTACACAGGCAGATTTGCAAGGTGTCACAAAAGCAACAGATTACCAAAGAACAGAGTCCGCGTGAAGCATAACCTAGACGATGATATGATATTGAGCACATTGTCTCCAGCAATCTGAACTCCCAGACTGGGAGAGACAAGCACTAGAGTTCTTTCTACTTCAGCCACTGGTTTATAATTGTTACACAGTCAATGCAGCAATGTTATTAGTTCAGCACGGATTTATTCTAATGTTAGCTGCTCTCCTGATGTCTTTGCTGAATTCTACTCAGTGAGCACTGAGTTCAAATCCTGCCCCAGCATGTGAGCCAAATGGCCTGTATCTGTGCTGAACATTCTTTATAAACTTGCTGCAACGACTGAGAAACATTCAAGTGTACATTAAAGCCATGTCATCAGCAGCTTTCACTTCCTGCAACACCCATAGCTCAACGCTTCTCCTCTCATGGTGGAGCTGCTGCAGAGGTTTCCTGCACAGCCCTAGGTGCAGCACTAAACACTTCACCTCTTCTTCTTCTGAATGGGTTTGTGCTCCTGTCCCTTGTCTCACTCAGTCAGTACCTCCCCTCAGTGACCATTGCTCATATTAATCTACACTGCACACACCCTCACACACACTCTCACAACCCTCACACACACTCTAGCACATCCCCAAACATCATATCCCACACTGCAAACCACCCACTGCACACACCCACCCATATCCCACCCCACCCCACATACTCACACCACACACGCACACACCACACACACCCCATAGACACATTCTGTCACACCACAGACACCCTCCACACACACACACACACACACACACACACCCCATAGACACACCCGCCCATATCCCACACCACTCCCCCACACACACCCCTCAGACACAACCTCTCACGCCACAGACACCCCCCCAACACACACACACAAAATGTCCCCCTACACACCTCATAGACACAACTTCCCACATCCCACACACCCTCACACATCCAAACGTCCCCAAACTCCACACCTCCCCACATAGAGCATACACACTCATGTAGCCAAAAAACCCACACATTCAAACCCCACAAACCACCCCCCAACACCCAAATACCCACACATCAAATATAGCCCATCCACAAACCCCCAAACACCTCACATACCTCACCCCTTCCACAACCCCCAAAACACCCTACACGCCCCAAGACAAAATCTTCACACAGTCAGTAACCACCCATACCCCAGACACTCTGTACCCTCCCACACCCCCACAAAGTCTGTACCCTCCCACACAGTCCGTACCCTCCCACATCCCCACACAGTCCATACCCTCCCACAGCCCCACACAGTCCGTACACTCTCACACACACAAGAAACTAATACTAGAGGGCATGCATTTAAGGTGAAAAGGGGGAAAATTCAAAGGAGATGTGAGAGGCAAGTTTTTTTACACTGAGAGTGGAATGTGCCTGGAATGCACTGCCAGGGGTAGTGGTGCAGGCAGATACAATAAGGACATTTAAAGGGCTTTTAGACAGACACATGATTATGCAAGGAATGGAGGGATATGGACCATAGGCAGACAGAAGGGAATAGCAAACTTGGTGCCATCTTTGGCACAACATCATGGGCTGAGGGGCCTGTTCCTGTGCTGCACAGTTCTATGTTCTATCTACATCCTCACCCACCCCACCAATACTTTACACAAATCCCACACGAGAGGTTAAATCTATTTTACATGTTTCAGGGCTGTGGACTTAAACCGGACTGGCCAACTCCCTTCACGCCCACCCCATTCCCCCATTACTGACTGAAGACTAAGTAAATTTTAACTGGGTAACCACTACTAAAGCCTGGGATCATTGGGGAAATGGAGAAGAAAATGTCATATACCAAACACTACCTTCCACAGCACGGTAAGCATCCACAGTTCATCCAGATCTGGTTGGTGCATGAACCACAGATCGAGAGATCGAACAGGAGCTGAGAATCCAGAGAGGGAACAGGTAAGTGAGGGCTCTGAGGTATATCAGTGTGTTACAGTAACGGGTATGGAGAATATAAGTGTGTTACAGTGAGGGGTGTGGGGTATATCAGAGGGTTTACAGTGAGGGGT